GCTAGCAGGGGCCACCCACCAAAGACTGTTAATATTGTATTCCAGAGTAGGAAAACCTATTTTTCATTGAGGGCCACTGACCTACAAATAAAACACAAACCAATAACTCAAGGATTCCCCAAGTAAAGAGAAATCTGTTATTTATTCATTTTTTTGGAGAAATACAATCATTGTCATTGATTGACAAATCAATATCTTTTTAAAATTGAGGGAATGTAAAACTTTATTCAATTAATATAACAAATTACAATACAAAATGTACTTCAGGCTCATATGAGGCTATCTCAGAGCTGAGGGAGAGATACAGCTGGGGTGAGAAGGGGAGGTATATATAAGGAGAGCCAAGCAAGGTAGAAGGAAAAGGTGGGAATTAAGAGAGAGGAACGAAAAGATATTGGGAGAGAAAAGGAAGTCCTTGTTGGAAACAATATTGGACTATAAAGGCAGGAAATAGGTGTTCAAGACCCCACTTTCTCCACTTACTGACCTTGGACAGGTCTCTTACCATTTCTGAGGGTCAGTTTCCCTATCAATAAAATGGAGATGATGATAATATTTATACTATCTACGTCATAGTTATTGTGAAGAAAATGCTCTGTAAAGTTCTGTATAAGTGTGAGTTATTACAGTTATCATTACTCTTTGGAATTGTTGGCTCTTCAGAACTTTAAAATTTGCTTTTCTGCCCTAGAGAGAACTACTCTGATTTTGTTTTCAGGCTTTAATTGAAATTTAATTTCATTGAGATTTAATTGTGAAACAAAGGCTCATTTTCTTTTGAAATTCCAAAGGTTTTCTGTGTAAGAAAAAAGCAACATGTTTAACAATGACTTCCATTTTCTGTGTAAGAAAAAATGACTTAGGTTTAACAAATTTTCTTTGGAACTTCAAAAATGTTAGCCAATTTACTAGCTATTTCTGAAAGTGTCTTTGATGTTCAAAGCTTGTCTCAGTGACTGCCATAGCTTTCTACTTTGAGAAATCAGGGCAGCCCATTGCAATTCCTAAGGGTTACATTTAGAACTAATATTTTATTTTATTTTATTTTCAAATCTAGTCAAGTTTTTTGACTTAGCTGGCTCCTAGCAATGATGATAACTAGAGGTTAAAGGCCTCGGTGGAAAAAAAAAAAAACCAAACCAAACCTCTAAATGGATTAACCACTATTCACAACTCTTCAACTGCTTTTTTTCAAACAGTGAAAGGCTTCTCTTGTAACGGGATAGGCACAGCAGCTCACTATGGGTGAAACCATTTGGTGGAATGCAGAGCCATGGGCAGAGCATTATCACCTGACTTCACTGCTCAGGTGAAATCAAGCCAAGGGTTGGACTAGATCCTTCCAGAGGTTGACTCTGGTTGATATCTATATTCCACTTTGATAACTGTGATCAAATTACCAATAGGTGGAGCTGCTGAAACTTGAAAACAGATTCCAACAACTAGACCTTGAATTTAGAAAAGGAGTAGGTACGTGCTATGATTTTTTAATATGTAAATTGTTGGGTCAGATGAGGTTTCATATCCCACTTCTGGGGAGAGGGAAGGGAATCAATGAGAGGTGACACCAGTACCAGAAAGAGACTCTTCAGAGATCAGCTAAGTGGCCAAGATATTCTGGTGTTTTAGGAATGTTTACACGTTGGGTAATAGTTATAAACTCTTGGACCCAAAGTCAAGAGCGATATAAACCCTTTGGTACTGTGACTGTCTGAGTTTGGCAGAACAATAATTTAATTTGACCTCTAAGAAATGTGGCCAAGCAACAGTCTGTGACAAAGATTGTAAATATAAGAGGGAGTTGCTATAAACATAGCTAGCTCACTCTTGTAGAGCATATTTTAAGTTTAGTTAACTTTTGGTGATCTTCAGAGGCATATAATCAGAAATGTCATCTTCTAAAGCTACTCAGGCTTGGTGTTCCCATCTATGCATCCTCCAACTGTAGGTGACTACAACACATCCCTTCTCTACCACTTATCCATGTGATTTCTGGAAAATCACTTCATCTGAGCTTCAGTTTTTTTGGTCGGTGAATAATAATTCTGCTCTACCTCACAAGGTGGCTATGAGGACCAAACAAAATAATGTTTAGAATGTACTTAAAGCACTGTCTAAATATCAGCTATTAGCATTAATTCAAGAAGATCCATGAATTTTGGATGGTAGTCAAGAAAAAGAGTAGTCGATGGAAGATTAGGGAAGGCAATAGTACTAAAAAGCAACATTTGCATTTATCTCTTCCATTTAACCCACTGATCATCTAGGACTTGAATTTTTGGTTCACTTCTCTCCATTATAAGCTTAGCTTAGTCTGGGAGCACAAATTTAGGCTTTACAGCCCCTGTCAGGGGAAGGGTCTCTTAGGGGGCTACATTTTTGGCATAAGCTGAGATTTAGAACTGGAAGGGATATTAGGGACCTTTAGGAATCTTTAATCCTAGCCTTTTTTTTTAAATAGATGGTAAATTTTAAAATTTAATTTAATTTTAATTTAAATAGATGGTAAAATTAAGACCAAAAGAGGTCTAGGCCACACAGCAAGTTCAAAAGGTAGAGCCAGGCTACTTCTCTCCCTGGTATACCTCGATGCCTCTCCTGTCTTAGATGACTTTCCCTATTCTAAAATTATTGATCAGTTGTTAAAATTGATATGTTCAAAGGTAGCAGAAGGAAGAGTACTAGAGAAGAGAGCCCTAGAGTTGGAATCAGGGGACCTGGTTTCTAATCCTGCTCTGACTGCTATTTATATAACACTTGCTGGGCAAGTCATTTAATCTTTCTGGGCCTCAGTTTCCTCATGAAGAATGAAGGCATTGGAACTTGATTACTTCTGATGGAAGGGTGAAATTGCTTTGTGATTTCCTGCTGTTACTTAAAATGGACATTGCATGATGCTTTGTCGAGATGTGAGATAGAAATCCATTACTGTAGAAGAAAAGGTAGCCCATGGATGGAGTTATTAGGAGGTTGGTATATATCCTACCAGATGTGTGTAGCCTTCAAACAGGTAGTCAAAAGGGAAATTCGGTGGTGGAAGGGAAAAAGCATTGGCCTCAGAGTTGAGATCTGAGTTGTAATCCTGGTTCTGCCATTACTGGATCACTTCAGTTAAGTCACTTTACTTCAGTTCTTTGGCCTTTAGTTTTAAGACATGTAAAACAAATGATCTCCGAGCTCTATGAAAATCAATTATAAAATATCATCCTATAAATGGGAGAAGATAGAAGGATCCATGTTTTCCTCTCAACTCTCTCCCTTTTTTTTGTCTTCCCTGAATCCCCAACTATATCTTAAATTGCTTAAAAAAATAAAGTCTTTTCTGTTGGATATGCTTGTAAATTAAAAAAAAAAAGATGCATTTCAGGGCATGTGTATGGGCAAAGATCAGTTGGGCCTGGATTTTGTGGGATTAAACACATATTCAGATTCCCCATAAGATGTCTTGAATCTTTCTTTAGTGTGAATGGTTTATTTTTGGCTCCCAATGCATCCATTTCTACTAACTGTTGCTGTAAAGGAGATACTGCTAGGACTATGAGAAGTCAAAATCCTCAAAACCTTCAAAGTTCACAAAGCTGTCCTCTAGTCCAGGTGTGGAAAAGGAGGAGTTTCTACTGGCAGTGGGGTGCAGCTTCTTCTTCTCTCAGAAATTATCTCTTAGGGACTTGGCTGGAACTGATTTCTTCTCTAACTGCCAGATACCTGAATGCCCAATTGGGAGTTAATTTGCTATTTTATATGAAACCCACATTGTGTGACTGACATACATTAATTTAAAGCTTTTGGCTGATTGACTCACTAACCATGTTCTAACCTGATAAAGGCATCAGGGCTAGAGTATTTTGTTAAGTGGAGTGGGGTGATCGGTGGACTCATGGGAGGGGCCCCCCATAGATTCAGAGGTGAGACTTTTGATACCTAATTCAGACCCTCTCCTTTTACAGACCAGGAAGCCAGGCAGAGAGGGGTCATTTGTCCAGGGTCACACAGCTAGAATCTAAGGCAGAATTTGAACCCAGGTGCCTGATAAGATAAGTGCTTAATAAATGCTGCACACTGTGAACTTTTGTACCCCACCACAAAGATTCTTACTGCACCAGAGCTGCAGGTAGAGGGAAAACAAGCTCAAAGAGAGGTCTGAGAAACCAGCTTCGGTGTCGAAGGCTCCTTTGTCGTTCAATAACTAGGTGATCTTGGGCAAGTCCCTTGCTCATTTTGGGACTCAGTATCTTCCTCTGTAAAACTCGAGGGTTGTTCTAGAATCTAGACCATCTAGATCTTTGCGCTATAAATTCTAGGATTCATGAACTTGAGGATGCCACTGAAATCACAAGGGAAGGGAACAAAGTACTTTTAAGGGTCAATGAGGTGCTTTTCTAGTAGGGAGTCCCTGGACCCCACTGAAAATCTCATATCTTAGCACCCAGCTACGAAACCTTTGAGATCAAAGATTAAGAGTGGCTTTCCTTCTCAGTATGCCCATCGTTTCCTCTGTAGGTCCAGTCCTGGGATCTCTTCACCACTGGGTCACTCCCTCCTCCTTCCCCTCCCTGGGGTTGGGGTGTGGGGCGGGGGTGGGGTGGGTGGAGGGCTGTGAGACTGCCAAACACTTCTTCCCGGGTCCAACTGGGCATGCCCAGTCAGTGGGGTCCGTCGGTCGGGCAGTGTCCCTCACCCTGGCCGGGCCGGGCTGAGGCAGGGGCGGCGGCGGCAGCGGGGCAGGCACGCGGGCGCGCTCCCAGTGGGGAGGGCGGCGGAGGGAGGTGGAGGAGGACGAGGACGAGGAGGAGGAGGAGCGCGCGCCAGAAACCCAACGGACCAAGCCGGGCGGCACGGCGGGGGCGGGGGCGGAGGTGCCGGCGCGAGAGCCCGAGCCCCCTGCGCGTCCCAAGTTCCCAGAGCAGTGCCGAGGAGAGCAGAGGAGACGGCCGGGGAGGAGAGGGGCGAGCGAGCGAGCGCAGCGGACCCCGGCCCCGCGGGCTGAGCCCGGCGTGACCATGAGGCGGCTCCCGCGGCCGGACGGGGCCGGGCCCCCGCGGGAGAGCCTGCGGAACGGCTACGTGCGCAGCTCGGCGAGCCCGCTGCGCGAGGACCCTCCGCGCGGCTTCTTGTACCACGTCTGCCGCCTGTGCAACGTGGAGCTGCTGCTGCCCCGCGCCTCCTCCTCCTCCTCTTCCTCCTCCTCCTCCTCCTCCTCCTCCTCCTCTTCCTCCTCTTCCTCCTCTTCCTCGCTGTCCCCCGGCCCCGCGTCGCGCCGCTCCCCCGACGAAGCCCTGGGCAGCTCGGCGCTGGGCGCCCTCGCCGGCTTGCTGCTCGCCCGCCTCCTGTGGCCCGAGGGCTGCGCCCGCCTCAGCCGCCCGCTGGGGCTCCTGCTCCGCGGGCTCTCTCACGTCCTGTGCCCGCTCTTCAGCCTCGCCTGTGCCTTCTTCTTCTTCACCTGCTTCCTGACCCGGCCGCGCCGACGCCGCCTCCGTCTCCGCCGGGGCGCTCGCCGGGCCTGGGGGCTCCTGGCGCTGCCCGCCTGCTGCTTCGTGGGGGACCTGGTGCTGTCGCAGTGGGGG